TTTTGAGCATAGCCTTTCTAACAGGTGTGAGGCCGTAGCTCATTGGGGTTTTGATTTGCAAAGTCATCTATTTCTAAGACAAGTCCCTATGTCATGCTGTCTAGCGCCACCCTACCTTTTAAGCATCATAACATACTTACTCAGGTTTATTTCTATTGGCTTTAAAGATTTCTTTCAATGCCGTGTTGACAGTTGCAATGGAGCCCAACAGAATCTGTTTTCTATAAAAACGATGCCCCTCAAGTTTTGACAAGCCCTTGTTTTCTTTAATGGGTTTTGTAGTGTTGCTTTTAACGAAGGGATTTGAGTTGGATTGTCACTTCCTTTTGTCTTGTTGACGAGGAGTCTTGGACCTTGGCTCATACAATAGAAAGAACTTAGATTTCAGCACTCAGGATGTTTTTTCCTATTTTCTCTTGGTGACAAATGCATACAGACATTCACCACTCCCCCTAACATGCTCAGCACTCATCTATAGTTCAATGGAACCAGTCTGCCAGCGTTCAGAGTGAAGGGCAGTTAATCCATCTAGACAGAGGGGATTGTCTATAGCATTCATTCTCAGGGAATTTTCATGTTCATCTTCTCAGAAGAACGTCTTCTTTGTGCTTTTGAATATAAAACAACTTGGGTGCACATCAACATTCAGAGCAAATATTCAGATTACAGAAAAAGCTTTACTGTCAAGCCTCATTTCCAGGACAGCTATATAACCTTTAATTCACGTGAATACCTGCGTATCCTATAAAACCTGCTTTCTCACCCCTCTGACAAAATTTTATCTCTTCACTGTTAAGATTTTTCTAGTGAGTACAGCTCTGAATCATTCTGACAGACCTGAATGTGAAGAGATGAATGCTCTTCATCTCTGAAGCACTTCAGGGTAAGTTGCTTTCACTGGTATCCTGTTTTCAGAGGCTATTTTTCTGTCATCGCTTCAGATCTATCAAAGTTCATTTAATTCTTTTAAAAGCCATATTTTATAAAAAGTGGAGTTCTCCTCACGGAAGTACTTACTGCTGTGAGATGGGGAGTCCTACTGACTAGTCTTATTATCTGCGAGGGCCGTAGGCACTCAGACGTAGCAAGAACAGCTGCCCCTGGGAACAGCCGCACTCACACAAGACTGTGGTGAGTGATCTCGCTCACCTGCCTTGTTCTTCTCTGGAAATCCCCTTTCCTGAGGGGCACTGATTTCTGCCAGGCAGGAAAAATGTATTTAGGGGAAAGTTAACATTCAAAATACTCTGCTGAGGGGAAATGGATGAATATGGAGGAAAGCACAGGCTATTGGTTAAAAACCAATTATTTTTATTAGCTGAACACTCCCTTCGGCAGTCTGAGACTACCTTGTTAATTACTAGTATAGAAAATATATCATTCCCCCCAAATTTGATCATCTACAGCAGAGAAATGGTAAAGTAAATATTAAACTAGATTAGTGTTTTCTTTTCTTTCTTTCTTTTTTTTTTTGAGACAGAGTCTCGATTTGTCACCCTGGGTAGAGAACGCTGGCATCACAGCTCACAGCAATCTCAAACTCCTAGGCTCACGTAATCCTCTTGCCTCAGCCTCCCAAGTAGCTGGGAGTATAGGTGACCACCACAAAGTCTGGCTAGTTTTAGGGACAGGGTCTCACTCTTGCTCAGACTGGTCTAAAACTCCTGAGCTCAGGCAATCCACCCTCCTCGGCCTCCCAGAGTGCTAGGATTACAGGTGTGAGCCAGCACACCTGGCCTAGATTAGAGGTTAATAGCCTACAGGGCAAAAAATGGTGTGCTGCCTGTTTTTATTTTGTGACCTAAAAATGCTTCCTATGAGTGCTCGCTTCGGCAGCACATATACTAAAATTGGAACGATACAGAGAAGATTAGCATGGCCCCTGTGCAAGGATGACATGCAAATTCGTGAAGCGTTCCATACTTTTTTTTTAATGTTTTCTATGATTTTAAAGTGTTGAAGAAAAAAACCCAAAAGATCAATGATTTTACTGTGACACTTGAAAATTGTAAGAAATTCAAATTTCAGTGTCCCTGGGAAAATGTTGCTGAGATGGTTCTGGCCCACGGTCCGTAGATGGTTTCTGACTGCTGTCAGGGCCACAGCAGGAGTTGAGCGGCTGCACAGTGGAAAGGCTGCAACGGAGGCTACGCAGACCTCAAAGCCTGAAATACTTACTTGCTTCCCTTTATAAAGTTTGCTGACCACTGACAGGATCATCACATTGCCAGGAAAGTGGTATCACTTAAAATATTTAATCGCAAGAGAGATACCTGTGGTATCATAGTTAATGAAACATTTGTGACAAACTGTATTTATAAGAAGTAGACATATGCAATATGAGCTACCTCTTTGCCCTGGTAGAAATGTCTGCTCCACAAAAGCAAAAAAGACTGACATCTATTTATGCATTTAGCTTTAGGTTCTGGAATAGGGCTCAGCACATAGTAGATGCTTGAGAAACAATAAAGGTCCGTTGAAGACTGATGAAGTATATGGTTATGTCTGTGTGGGTCTATAAAACAGTCTTATCAAAACCTTTCTGGGGCATGTGTTTATGTTAAGCAGCAGCTTGAGAATTTTAAATGTATGATCTCATTTAATCCTAACAAAGTCAGCTTGGGAAGGTACATTATTACTCTCATATTACAGAAGAGGAAACAAGGGTTAGAGGGGTTATATAACTTGTCTGGGGATATAAAGCTAAGCAGTTACATGGCCAGAATTCAAAAGGTCTGTTGGGTTCCACAGTCTGAGCTCTATGTATAAGATACCTGCTGCTTCTTCTTCTCCTTCTCCTCCTTCTTCTTTTTTTTTTTTTGTTAATTTCTAAAAGCAATTTCTACTCCATATTTAGGTGAGAAAAAAGGATAGGAAAATACATGAGGTAATATTAGGACCAGCTACTGGGATATGAGATTATAGAAGTTTTGTTGGCTATACATTTTTATGTTTTTCCACATTTCATAAAATGAGTAGATTTACTTTTAATTACTTTTCAATAAGAAACAAATGTTTCTTACCGGAAAGAAACATTTGAAAAGAAAAAAAAAAAATCCCAGCAAGTTTCAGTTGTTTATGGAGGTCCTTTCCTGATCCTTTGAGGGCCTTGTGTGAATTTCTGGGGAAACGGCCTTTCCTCTGTCTCATCTGTGACTGGTTTGTGTTGTTGAAGTTCAGTATTAAATTTTAACTCCCTTTAGATACGTCCAAGGCCTGAGCATGCAAAGTGCTACGTGTGTATGTAAAATTTTGATCCAAGACCCTAATGGCTGGACCTTCTTGGTATTTCTCTTTCGAGGTCTGAAATGCACACGTCTTTGAACGTGTGTTGTGTTTTCTTTTCATCTTTGGTTACACTGCTCCAAAGCGTGTCCGCCAGGGCCTGATGGATTGCTGCTACCTGAAATTTATTTGTTTTAAACTGACATAGGAGTTGGGACATACACATTTAAAATGATCTCATGTCTAAGACGATAACTGGGTCCCAGTGGCCCCATATTACTCAGTGGAGTAACAAGAAGTAGAGAGGAGAGATCATGTTACAAACGCAGTTCTTTAGTTATGGGTGATGTTTCTTTGTGTTTTTTTTCTTAATCGTGTGTGGCATATTTCCACAATCCGAAGAACCGTTTATATACATATGCCCTGGCCTAACTCTCAAGGCTAAAGGGAGAAAGATTTTTCTTTCGAACCAAACTGGAATGTGAGTGATTAGAATGATCAAGCGAATGTTACTGAGGTTAGTATAAAGGCAGCTTCAAGAGTTAGAGGAGAGGATGGTTTCCTGCGTTAAAGACTGGGGAGAAGGATTCTAAAGCAAGGCAAGCAAGCAAGGTGGCAAAATAAAAAAGTTTCCAGGAAACAATGAATAAAGTTATATTAATAGATCGAGAACCTCTGAGGCTATTTAAAAGGGGTTTAAAAAATTCCTGTGACATGTATAAACATTCCAGGCATAATTTCAGAGGCCTCTGTGTTGAGGCCTGTGAAGAATGAGTTAAGTGGGCTTTTTAAGGTCTTTGTAAGTTAAGTCATTTTTTTCAAGAGCATCATTCTGAGTTTTGAGTTATGAGCAACGTTTCTCAGCACCATCTCTTTGTGACTTTATTTGGCAGAAATGGGGGTTTGGGAGTGATGCTACTGGTTTTAAACTGGAAGTGTTGTTTAA